GTGGGGCCAGGTCTGGCTCCCTCTTGCTGTCACTCACCTGGTATTTGTGCACATCCCCTGACGTCCCTGTGTTTCTTTCCCTGTTCACAGATGAGCGTTGGTCAGCGGGCAAAGATGACCATCTCCCCAGATTACGCCTACGGCTCTACTGGCCACCCAGGGATCATCCCACCAAACGCCACTCTAATTTTTGACGTGGAGCTCATGAAATTGGAATGACCCTACCCCAGCACCCTGTCCTCGGGTAATGAGGGGCAGCTGCTGCCGGGGGGTGTCGTGGCTTGGGGGTGACTCAAGGCCCCCCCATCTTTTGCTTCGGGCTAGTGTGGGGAGGTGGGATGGAGGTGATGGCAGCGGTGGGGTGTGAGAAGGAGGGGGCGGGTTTCTGGCTGTGGGTAGAAGTTGCTCTCGGGGTGGAGCTGGTGAGCTGGGGATCGCTACGGTGGTACGAGCAGAGTTCCCAGCCTGGCAGAGCGGGTTCATGCCATGGAGGCATTGCAGTCCTGGCTGACCGTGCCTCGGGGTCCTTGCGTTGCGTTGCTGCGCTGCAGTGCTCGGCTGCCTGCTCCCCCTCCTGCCTTTCTTGCTCCTGGTGCATGCGTCCAACAGTGCGGGCAGGATGGGGCTGGGCTTGGAGCGTGTGGGTCCTGCGGTGTGGGCAGGATGGGGCTGTGCTCCCCCTTCGTAATCGGGGCTTGACTTCTGCTTTGAGCAAACCGTGCGGTTTGCGATGAGACCGCAGTTTCATGAGCGCGGTCCTTCCTCTGCCGGGTTTCCTCCACAGGCAGGCGGGCGTCTTTGTCACGCTGCCTCTCCTCTCTCCCGGCAGGTTTGGCACATGGAGGAATCCAGAATCTCAGCTTCAAGAAGAGTGCACATGACTTTGTACGGAGCTTTTCCTGATAGTCCACTACACTCATTGTATAACCTTACACCTTGATTGAATGCCTTTGGTCACTAAGCTTTGCGTCTGACTCTTCCTCCTTGTATCGTGTTTTTATGTCTTTTTAAACTATACGCCGTAAACCTCAACTCTTTTTGGGTCAAGTTCTTAATCTTATTTTTGTTCCAGGTGTAGACTACGTTTTACCAGTAGCACGCAGATGGGCTGACCTTAGATAGGAGTCATTTGAACAAAAGGAAACCTGTTAGTTACTGGTTTTGGTGCAGATCTCTACGGTCTTTTCAAACCAGAAATTGCTGCTGCTGCAAAAGCCATAGCAGAGTGAGGCTGTCGAGGCTGAATGGATGCGGAGAGCAAAGTAGCGCTAGGATTGTGTGTAGGTACCCTGCCTGGAACTGGGGCAGCGAGGGAGCAGCGTGTCCTTTCCCTGCTCCCCGGGGAGGGTGCAGCATCGCTGCGGGCACCGTGGGTTTGCATCACTCTGCCATCTCACGGTGGACCTTCCTTTCCCCCCCCTGCCCCAACCCGCTTTCGGATTTATGGAGATGGATTTCCATCAGAGCTCCACCACACCCTGAAAATTCAGTAGCTTACATTGAGCTTTCTTTAAAGAAAAAGGAAAACAGCAGACAAACGGAAGGTGCTGTCTACAGGGGAGGTGGCGGGGCTGGTGGGGAGTCAGCTCAAAGAAAATGTCCCTGTCCCCTCTCTCCCCCCCTGGAAAGGAAACATCAGACCCCAGTTGTCCCTGGTCTGAGCACACCTGACCGTTCTCTCCTGACACCTGATGCTGGTCATCGCCGCTTGTCTGGTCTCATACGATGCATAGCTTCCCCCGCTGCTGTCCTATCTGCCCCCTCCCTCCGCCCTGCCTAGTGATTTGGTAAGAGAAATTGCCGCCGTTCACTTCCTTCTCCACCGCATAAAGGTATCAAGTTTTATTATTGCAATAAAAACGCTTTATGCTGGCTTTTCTCAACCCTGTGTCTTGGAGGTTTTTCCCTCGCCTGTCTGTCGCTCAGCACAGTGGGGTGCCGTGTCGGGCTCGTAGGGTGCCGGGGAGCTGTGCCGAGGTGCCGTGCTGGGTTCGTGGGGTGCTGGGGAGCCGTGCCGGGCTTGTGGGGTGCTGCGGCAGCAGGGATGGCCGGCCTCTGGCTGTGCTGCTTGCTTTGGCGTGAGGCTTGGGTGCTTGGCCCTGGGAGCACCGAGGGACGCCTGGGGCTCTCTGGGTTCTGCGGGAAGGTGATGGTGGCCTGCTGGAATTCACATAATTAATTGCCTTACTGTAACCTATTAAACGTTGCCCTCGCAGCCTCTCGCCATTGTGGCTGTGACTCAGCCTGGTCTGGGAATGTGAAGGGCAGACGGACGCATGCTCCCAGGGTTCCTCCAGCTCTGGAGAAGCGTATTGATATCTCTCTATGTATTTATTTCAGTCCTCTTTGGAGGCTGGATGTTGCAGCATGGCACGTGCAGCAGCCAGCGTTTGCAGGCCAGATCACCATGGACCTGAAAACCCTCTTGGGGTGCTTTTTTCCAGTGCCTTTCTTTGTGATTCCCGCACCGCACCTGGTCGGTGGGGCTCCTGGAGCCCCCCTGCTTCTGGTCTTTGCTGCTGCCCCTCGATATTTGCCGTCACCGGCAGCTGGTGAACGTTGTGGCTCACAGCATAGGCGCTGCAGGGGCACTGCTGTGTGCCAGCACCCGGTTCCTCTGCTAACGGCCTTTGCTCCGCTTGCCACGATCGATAACGCGGCTGCGATCGATAACGCAGCGAGTCCCCGGCTCCCGAGCGAGTTTGTTGGGAGCAAAGTTTGTGTTTAACAGGGACCTGGGGAGGCTCTGGAGGGACCAGCGGCCACGGGGCAGGAACAGCTCTGCCTGCTGGGCTGCATTCGGGAGCACCAATGCTTACACAGGGTCATGTGGGATCGGGTCCACGCTGCACAGATATTAGCACTACCCTTAATTGCTACTCAATTAAGCAGAACGGGGAGCTGCCGGGGCGCCAGCATCATGCTCTGCCCTTTGCAGCAACCACTTCTAGGCAGAAACTCGAGGCGAGCTTGGGTTTCTCTTCTTGCAAAGCTTTTTGCTTTAATTATTAACCGGTGCCAGGCAGTGCTGTGGCTTCTGGCTGGAGATAAGCCAGGGCTGGCGGAGGACCGGGAGGAGCCCATTGCCCCTTGCCCATGGCACACAGTCCCCCCGCGGTGGCTCCCGCAGCACCCACAAGTGCAGATGGGGTGCAGGACCTTCCAGCTCCGTTTCGGCGGGGATGAAGGTTTTGGGGCAGGCACAGACTCCCTGGGAACCATCCTTCTCTGGCTGCTGTAGGATGTCTCCCTGCCCCTGCTCCTGGCTGTGTTTATCAGCAGTTGGGCTGCTCTCGTCCCAGGCTGGCTGAGGCAGCCGGGCACCGTCTGGCTAAAAATAACACCAGTAAATAAAACGCTTCCTCCTGGCCTGGCACGCAGGAGCGGAGGCGCAGGGAGCTGGGACGTGCCCGGCTGCTGCTCCACGGCGGGGGTTGGCCCGCGGCGGGGTG